TTGGATACATCATGGTAAGTAATTAGCTTGATTTTACCATATTGTGGCTGGAGTCTGAAGCATTTATCGTGAATCTTGAAACAGTTGGAGAGTCTTGAGACTCTGCTTTTGCAAGCGGCAACACAGTCTGTGATAACAAGTACTGGGGAGAGAAAGAATCTGAGCCATATGATGAGTCAGAGGCTTAAGCCGACGTTTAACCGCAATCCATTAAAGCGATGGTACCGTGGCCTTAGATTCTTCGTGTTAGACAACTGGAAAAGATGCTGGGTTATAGTACTATGGCTCATAGTTATGGCTATCCTCTTCACCTACAAATACATCCAGTACAAGCGTAGCCTGGTGTATGCAGTGATGGGTGATTGTGTATGCATGGCCAAAGGTGCAGCAGAAACAGTTAAGCTGAACATGGCTTTAATTCTCTTACCTGTTTGTAGAAACACCATCACATGGCTTAGGAATAAGACCAGGTTGGGTGTTGTTGTCCCATTTGATGATAATCTCAACTTCCACAAGGTAAACAACAAAAACGAACATATCTTAAAACATGTTCTGTTTCAGGATTTTCTTATGATGAAACAATGCTTAAAACATTAGGTTATAGCGGTGGGGATTATAGTTGGAGTAACGATGCACGCCGGGGCACATTTGGCGTGTGACTTCCCGCGGTTACTACACGCAACTCCAGAGGCATATAGGCCTTTAAGGCAGTTTTTCGGGGATGAGCAACCGAAGAGCTACTGGCATTTTGTAAACTCGGTGGAAGGTATCACCGGACTCGTAATGGTTTTGTTAATGGCAATTGCATTCACACTAGCCACGCCATGGTTCAGAAGAGGGAAGCTAAACTATCTTCCAGGACCATTAAAGAAACTAGCTAGCTTCAATGCCTTCTGGTACACTCATCATTTGTTTGTCATAGTCTACATTCTTCTTGTTGCTCATGGGTACTACTTGTATCTCACCAAAGACTGGCACAACAAGACGGTACATTAACTTTAATTTAGCTCCTTTGAATCATCACAAGTTACATAAGTTGTTACTAATATATCATTTGGTCATGAAAATTGTTGCAGACATGGATGTATTTGGTGGCACCAGTGATTCTATACGCGTGCGAAAGGTTGATAAGAGCATTCAGATCGAGCATCAAGGCGGTGACTATTAGAAAAGTAGCAGTTTATCCAGGAAACGTGTTGGCAATTCACTTGTCAAGACCTCAAAACTTCAAATACAAGAGCGGTCAATACATGTTTGTTAACTGTGCTGCTGTTTCTCCATTTGAATGGTATGAACCAAACCGATAACTTCATATAGTGCATCGATCCTTACATATACCTAATGAGTGTTCACCATGATGTAATGCAGGCATCCTTTTTCAATCACATCTGCACCACAAGATGATTACCTAAGTGTTCACATTAGAGTTCTTGGGGATTGGACAAGGGCTCTCAAAGGAGTCTTCTCTGAGGTTATTACTATAAAGTCTTTAACGAACCAATCTTTTTTGAATTTAAAGAGTTAGATATGAATGGTTTGCTTTGTCTGATGTTTCAGGTGTGTAAGCCACCTCCGGCAGGAGTTAGTGGTCTGCTCAGAGCCGACATGTTGCATGGTGCAAATAATCCTGAGTAAGTTAAAATCCTAACCACTATATCTTGAAAAATGTGATCCATGCGTCGTTATCTTAATTCTACACGTAAATGACTAAATCATGCTATAGAGAGGATAGGTTCTCGAAGTTTTTTTAGAGGATGAATCGTGAATCGTGATATCCACTTAATTAGGAAAAGCATTGTTGAGTATTTTGGTATATAAAGGGTAACAAATTCAAATAATGTACCTAATAGATTATAATAAAGTGGTGTGGGAGACCACAACTAAAACAAACTATGTACCTAACCAAATATCACTATTTTATTTAGGTGATTGAGACGCATTATTTGGTTATATATCATGCAAGCACGATGTTTTTGCTTCTCCATGTGACCGCGTAAATCTTTGGGTTGCAATATCTTATTTCTCAACTTTTTCCTTAAAAAACATTGCAAGGTGGTCGGATAATTAATTGTGCTAGGTCAATATTCTACGTTTTTTAATAAATATTTTGCATCACGTCAATTATATTGCCAATATATATGGTTTATTTACTTTATCAAGTTCCCATTTTTTCTAAATAAAAAAAAAAACAATAAAACAGATGCTGACTTTTCAAATGGTCTTCGTAGTTTCCTATCTTGGGTTTGAGCCTATCTAACTTTGAGGGCACATCACATGTAGTATAGATCCAGGTGTACGAATATACTTGCATATATACTTCATTAGTTTTGGATAAGTGTGATTATATTATTCTACTCATTTCAGAATTCTAACGTGAAATTATTTTTTATAGATTTTTCTTTTGGTGCTAGTAAAAATGATAACTACCTAATCATTATATCATAGTATAGAGTAAGACAAAAAAAACAATGTCACAAGGGAAAGTGAACATGACATTCACTAAAAAGAGCTTATATACATAATTAATCAGTAGTCATACTTTTTTTTTTTTAGTCATACTTTTTTTAATCTAACTATATTCAAAGATATTAGATAGGAGATGTGTTTTTAATCAAGTGGTTAAGTCCACTTGACTCCGCCTTTTCCATCGGAGTTCGACTCCACTAAGTCGCGTTATTCCGCGTAGTAGGGATTGGCTATGGATCGGGCTTTGTCGATCCAAAGATGTCAAAAAAAAAAAAAAAAATTAGATATACCGAATTTTGAAAGATCTTAATGTGAATATAATATATAGATATATTTTGATTTTTGACAAAATATTAGTTACGACCAAATTGTTTGATTTCTTTATAGGTTTTACCTAGACAATTTCATCTAAGTTAATTTCTTGTTGAGCAATATATAAAAATATAATGACATTTGCTAATGTCAATGTCCCTTATTTCACAGCTTCCCGAAAGTCTTGATCGATGGTCCATACGGTGCACCAGCCCAAGACTACAAGAAATACGAGGTGGTTCTACTAGTTGGTCTCGGGATTGGAGCCACACCAATGATCAGTATCGTCAAAGACATTGTTAACAACATCAAGGCCAAGGAACAAGCCCAACTCAACCGAATGGAGAATGGAACAAGCGAACCACAACGAAATAAGAAAGAGAGTTTCAGGACACGTAGGGCTTACTTCTATTGGGTTACCCGTGAGCAAGGCTCTTTCGATTGGTTCAAGAACATCATGAACGAAGTCGCGGAACGAGATACCAACCGCATCATCGAGATGCATAATTATTGTACAAGTGTCTATGAAGAAGGAGACGCTCGTTCCGCACTTATACATATGCTTCAGTCACTAAACCATGCAAAGAACGGCGTTGACATTGTCTCTGGAACAAGGGTTATGTCCCATTTCGCTAAACCTAATTGGAGAAATGTTTACAAACGTATAGCTATGGATCACCCTAACTCCAAAGTTGGTAAGTTCACATCTTTCTTCTCTACTATGCTCGATCGCGGTTATATAGAAATGAAAAGTGATATAGGACTAAAGAATCTTGATTTGGTATGTGCAGGAGTGTTCTACTGTGGAGCACCAGCATTGACAAAGGAGCTAAGGCATTTAGCTTTAGATTTCACCCACAAGACAAGCACCAGATTCTCCTTCCACAAAGAGAATTTCTAAAGGAGAAACAGAGTTAAAAGGCATAAGCAAAAGAAGAAAAGAAGAAGCATGCATGAGTTGTGATTTCTCGTAATTTCACTTCCCCTTACTATATTTTTTTCTTAATTAATATTTGTATACATATATATACTCTCTTGACTGTAGCTTTTCCTTATATGCTTTTTGATCGTATGTTTAAATTGTTTTTTTTTTTTTTTTTTTTAATTCTCTTGAGAAGTGTAACAACGTTAAATATATTGACGAGAAAAACGGTGCAAAAAGAAGCAAAGGTTTTAAAAGAGAAAATACGTTTTAGGAGTGTTGAGACTTAAGCTCGAAGGCTCAAACTTTTTTCTTTTTCTTTTTTTGTCATCGCTCAAAGTCTCGGACTTTTCACGTTTTTGTAGATTTAGATTAAATTATATTTGTAGCCTTAAACACTGTTTATCAGTTGTCTTACTCCACGACGTGTTATTATGTGACACTTAAAAGTCTAAACCATATAATCCTTCACTTGAACTTTAGTTGTTCTCAAAGTAAAGGGAAAAAAAAAATACAATCATGATCACTCAAGTCTCGAAATGTGTAGTGATTTAGTTAGATAATAATATGATATTCGTAGATGGTTACAGGGCGAATTGAATTGAATGTACTAGAAACCAGTAGTTTAGCTGAACAATGTTTTTTTTGTTAAATGTTGAACAATGATACAGCGTATTTTACGTTAATAATATTTTTTTTTTCCAAATTTATCATTAGTAAAATACTCCCTTTACATGTGCTCTCTGGGACTCTCGGCGTTGCAAGGACATGTGCTCTTGATTCTTACACCAAAGTGCACGAAAAAAAAAAAAACTAAAACGTGAACGGCAGGATTCGAACCTGCGCGGGCAGAGCCCACATGATTTCTAGTCATGCCCGATAACCACTCCGGCACGTCCACTTTGATGTCTTTGTAGCATATAATAAATAATTATTCATAAATTTCACTTCGTAATGGTCATAATGGACATTGCTACTAAGTACTACTAACATTGAATTTTGATTAGATCCTATGAGGTGATTTACCAATTTTTCTTTAGGTTTTTTCTCATTTTTGTGTGTTCCCAGAACAAATTCTCGAATTTTCTGGATGATCATATATACCGAACCAAAACGAGAAGATGTTCTATTCAGTTAAAACCAAAATGACAAGACGTTACCTAACTTGCTTTCACTCTCCACTACACCAAAATCTATCCCAAGACAAGGAACCTCTATATTATCATTGCCTTATAGATCACAATTGGAATCATCAAAGCAAAAGTCAAGAAGCATCACTACAAATTTCTCAGCTAAGAAATAAAAAAAGTAAAGAGAGCTTTTGTACACTTGCAAAAAAATTTAAAGTTTGGGGAAACAAGAATCTTATAGTATTATCTCATACAAATGATGTTTAGAAGAATTAAGTATGTTAAAATAACCTAGTTTTATAGGTTCTCCTTTTATTATTCCCGTTTTTTCGTCAATATCGAACTGAAGTGAAGCCACTAATCAATCAAGTTCTAGACTCTTTTTCATTGCTTCGTAAACCATATATGTAATGCTTGCAGCAGGAACAACCTTTAGAAGGTTTGGTAGAAGCCCTTTGTAGAGTGCTCTGTAACCTTCTTCACTTATTGTTCTCCTGAATACTCCTGACATGGAGGTTCTTGCTCGTTCCGCTTGCATTCTGTGTGACAGTGACATATATTTCATATAAGAAAATAACTTCAAATGCCCACAAGAAGTGATATATGCTTGTTGAGTGGAGTTTGTGCTGTGAGGGATAGAGAACAGGAGAAGCATATAGGCTATGGAATTACCTTGTTCTCACAACCTGCAAAGGATAAACACAGGTTGCTCCAAGAGCTCCTGAGATTGTTCCGCATCCTAGTTGCACGAGCGGACCTGGTTCTGAAGACCAAACCGAGCCACGTTTTATGAGTTTACGTTCAAGCATAATCAGACATAATGGGAATAGCAATTAAGTGATTTTACCAGCGTCTTGAAGAATATATGTCCTGGACAAGTCCTTTAATGTTTCATACGCAGCAAGGTCAATACCCGCATAAGGAATAATCCCGAGAAGAGAAGGGAAAAGACCTTTGTAAAAGGCGCGTGGACCCTCATGAACCAGTATGTCTTTGGTGAGCGTTCCAAGCCTGGGAACAACAACATCTGCTTGGCTTGTGCAAGTCTGCAACCGAGTTTTCACAAGATCCAAAGGGTATATAGAGGCTTGAGCCACTGCACCAGCCATACCTCCAGCAAAAAGTCTAGCTGTTGTGCCTATATCTGCTTTGTCTTCACCCATGTTTTCACCAATAGCGTTTTTGAAAAGCTCATATGCATAGAACTTGATGGCACTCTCTGGTGCTACCTTCACAATATTCAACCCGTTACCTCGAAAAAAACCCCTAACTCCATCCTGCTTCCATATCAACTTTATGCCTTCTCGGATTTTAGCATCAGTTTTCTGAATTTGCAAAAGAACTTTTAAGCGATCTAGAGGTGCAGTAGCAGTCCTAGAAGCTGCACCAGCTATGCCACCTGTGACAGCACTATTATGTTGTCAGAAAACTTCAAAACCAAATCATTTTACATTGTTCAGAGAAACTAAGCTCAAACAATTTAAGGAAGTCCACCTGCGATGAAATAGTTGCTCCTCTTTACATGTTTGCTGATGCCTTCCGGAATAACAGCTTGTTCTCCAATATCTACAAGGCATACTCTTTCCCAGTGATGGTATATATTTTCAATGGTAGCTTCATGAGGGTACAGCAAAAGAAAATCTCTCCATTCTTCAAACATTATTATTCCATCATTGTCCTTGTCAACATGTTCCACAAAACGAGCAAGCTCCTCATCATTTATCTCAATCCCTGCGAAATAGAAACTGTTGTGGCTTATAGGACGAAAACAGAGCATAAACAAAAAAGTGGTGGTCAATAGTTTCAATGTCTACGCGTAGAACTGAGACAAGATTTGAGCACAAGCCTTATTCTTAAATGCACAGAAATGACTCACTCAGGGTGTTAACTACGGTACACCAAAATGAAACCCAGTAGGAAGTCTTCATAAGTACTACAACAAGATAATTATATACTCAAATAACCAAAAACTATAAACAAATTATGTTTTACTTAACCACTCGGGTTCAAAAGAGTCTCATCTTAACTAATGTAATGATCATACATACATATAAATTAGCACAATCTTATCAACCTACACCGCATGCGAACCATAAATCTCAGTAACTATCATTCTCATCCTTTACTTTCCAAGATTACATCACAAGAGATAGTACAAACTTCTCCAAATCTATAACTCTCCTGCTAAAGACTAACTACTCCAATAATCTAACAACTAATGAACAACAATATGATGATTCTTGATCAAAATAAGCTCAGAGCATAAAGAACTTGTAGCATGTAAATAAAATTATACCAGCCTTCACAAGCGAATCCCATAGCCCCTCAGGAGAAATGCAACCATTATGCTCAACATCAATAGCTTGAAAGATTCTATACAACTCAAGCTCCTTATCATCCATATATCTACGAAACTCATGATAATCAACACGCCCATCTCGATTCGCATCACAAACCCTAAACAACTCCTTAGCGTATTTATACCCACTTGGGATTTGAAGCGCACACAAACCCTTCTCGATTTGAGCACAATCCAAGTAACCAACATTCTCAGAATCGAAGAAATTGAACAAGCTCCTGACTCGTAAATCTCGCTCTTCTCTCGTCTCACGGAGAGCTAAGAGAACATGATCCATTGAAACGGGTCCGGGTTTCTTAACCGGGTTGCAACAACCCTGTTTCGACGATTTCGTAGCTTCTATTTTGGTTGGTAAACCAACATGTTCCACGCCATGAGTCGTCGACATGATGATGATCAAAAAATCAGATTTTGAGTTTCTGGGTTTGTGATCATATCATCCTTGTATTCAGATCTGCAATGAATCTCCAGAAACGGTCACCATTGAAAACGCGTAACGTAGAGAGAATCTCAAATCCGTGATTCGAGTGAAGAAAGAAAGGATCTAAATTTGAAGAAGAGATTGGGGATTTGTGCTGATGCAGGTGAAGCTGAAGGAAGAAGAAGAGAGAGAGGTGTAGGAAGAAGAAGAAGAAGAAGGGGCCAATCTCTCCAATGGTGCGGAGTTGAGATTCTCATGGGATATTCTTCCAGTTTTCATTTATACGATTTTTTCATAAACTTTGTTTCGAAATATTTTAACTTAAAAAATGGAAAAACCTTTATTCGTATAACATATTTTATTATTTGCTAAAAGGTATGTGATTGTTGACACTTGACAGGTTCAAAGAGACTAGATTTTTCTTGACACACCTCCCGGAGCAGCATACATGGTCCAAATTTGAAAAAATTAATGTGCAATATCCCATGTTTAAAATAATGGTACTCAGGCTGGCCAATTTTTTTTTTTTTTTTAAATCAATGCGCTATAGTAACTTATTTTTAATGCATAATAATAGATAAACCAAGGGAAAATGGTCATTTAATTCTCCTACTATTTAAAATTGATATTTTTATTCTCGAACTTTGCTGTCAACAAATTAATTCCTCAATATGTAGTTGACTGGGCACTTTTGGACAAATAAAAAATCAACGTTAATTAGTTAACAGAGATGGTGATAACTAATTAACGTTGACTTTTTATTTGTCTAAAAATGTCTAGTCAACTACACATTGAGGAATTAATCTGTTGACAGCAAAGTTCGAAAATAAAAATGTCAATTTCAAATAGTAGGAGAATTAAATGACCATTTTCCCGATTAACCAACAACTTTTTTTTTAGATTTGAAAGATTTTAAATTTGTTTCCATCTATATATACATTTTTGAATGACTTTTAGCAAATAAATCCTGGAGTTGGACCTTATTTACGGATGAATGCCATTGACATTAATTATTTAAATTTGAAAAATATTAATTAAAGATATTACCAATACGATTTCGAGAATCATAAATTCATATCTTCCTTAATTTTCTGAGTCATTAATGTGATAATCTTTAGGAAATATTTCTCTGTAAAAAAAAAAATCTACATTAATGAAGGCATTAAAATCGACACTAACAATTAAATTATTTAGATGTTCAATTATTTTAAGATTCTTATATCTTATTTGATATTTTTTTTTTAATATCTCATTCTTTAATTACTGCGTTTAGAATTTATTGGTTGTTACCTATTTTTTGGTGAAATTTATTGGTTGTTACTTAATTAGTAATTATGGTGTGTTTATTTTAGTTAATATCTAATTTAAAGGATTTGTTTTCTTTTATTATTAATAAACGAATAACATGTATAGAAATAAAAGATTTTTTTTGCGACTCCATAATAAAAATATTAAACTTTTATTTTCTACATTTCTTACACATAATATCCTCTTATTCAATAACAAAAAATATATATTACATATTTTTAAAAATATTTATAATATTTAAATTATATAAAAAATTTGTAATATTAATATTATTTCAACTCTATACAAATTTAATATATATGTATATATATCTTATGGGAACCATTTAAAAGAAATTTTTAAATTGACTTGAATTATATAGCTTTTAAATAAAAGTATTATTAAAAAGAAAAATAACTAAATAATGTTTAATTTCACGGGACGGGTAATATGATGGGACGGGTTTGGGTTGATATTTATAAAAGATCGTATACCACGGGTGAAATCCTAAAATTAACAATCAAAATAATCTATCAAACAAATTACATTTTGATTTTTTAAGAAAATATAGCTCCGCGGTGTACCGCGGGTTAAAATCTAGTTAACGTTTATTTTGCAAAACGTATTTCCTCATCTACGTAGACAATTACATGTGTAGTCAAAAAGACTTTGATACGATATTAACAACGTTTCATTTTTAACAAACTCGAAATATTCGCTAGGATCCAAAGATAATGTTCTCGGTGAAGATATGATTCTATTCAAATAAAGATACATGGTCGTTTTTATTTATGTGTTTCATCAAGTGACTACACCATTGAACAATGGGTAAGTGTTGTTGTTGATATCGCCTCCTCCATACTTAAAAGGATCAAAAGAGAGTTCTTGATAGCTGTTGAGGCACAAAATGTTAATTATTTGATAAAAATATGGTTATACTTGTAAGAGGGTAAGAGATCATTCTGTTAAATGCATAGAAGTGAGGGTCTTAGACTCTTAGCCATGTAACCAAAACACACTCATAAGATAATCTAGAAATAGTATATTGGGTGGAAAGAATATAACTTCAAACAACAAAACCATATCTGACTAAAATTTGTTTTTTTTTTTCATATCTCCCACGATGTGATGTTCTCGAAGAATTTTTTTTATAGTTATTTTCATCGTTCTTTTTCAACGGTAGCTCTATAGTAGATAATGATTTACAGGCTCATACACCAAGATACTGTAGAAGAAAAGAGTAGTGGTAATGACTAAAAATAAGATACTTTTATAGTTCCATCATGAAAAATATGAAAAAAAAAACCAAATCTTAGGCAAGTATGTTTATGTTGTTATAAATTACATTCTTCACCCTAATATACTATTTCTATACTAGATTATGGGTGTGTTCCATACTTTTTTTTTTGATAAACCCTAGTGTGTTCCATACTTAAATGGACTAAAAGAGAGTTCTTGATAGATTTTGAGTCACAAAATGATAATTATTTGATTAAATTATTGGTTATACTTGTAAGAGGTTAAGAGATTACTTGAAGGATAACTAGTCTATAGCTAATGTTTTAAGTGAATGAGCATTGTGTTTTATTTTTGGTGTGATTGAATGAGCGTTGTGTTAAATGAATAGAAGTGATGTTGTTAGCTATGTAACCAAAACACACCCATAAGCTAATATAGAAATAGTATATTGGGTGGAAATAACGTAACTTCGGCAAAAAAAAACATACATGACTAAAATTTGTTTTTCTTTTTCTTTTTCATATCTCCCACGAGGAGATGCTTTAGAAGAATTGTTTTTCAGTTATTTTCATCATTCTTTTTTCAACGGTGACTCTATGTATGAGGCTGTAAATCATATCTATAGTAGACCTTGTTCAAAAAATCGCTAGGCGTTAATCGGGCGCTCGAGCTGGGCCTAGCGATTAATCAGAGATTACACGGAAATTAATCGGGATTAATTTGAGGGTTTTTATCTAGTTTTGTGGGTATATATGAATTATTTGTTGACAAAGAATATAAAGTCGGCTTGGTGTAGTGGTTTCAGCAGTCTAAATGCCTTTGTTCGCCTGAGTTCGAGTCCCCAGATCATGTTTTTTGCTCTCTTTTTAACCCTTCTTTTAATGAAGGGTAAAACAGACATTTTATTATCGTTTTCTTCACAGACCTTGACGACTTTCTAAACCTAATAATGGCGGCTGCCCGTTTTTTATACATTTGCATCATTTTTAACTCATTTTTGTTCTTTTTTTTCTCCAAATATGATAGATCTGACATGTATCATAGGATATTTAACCATAAACTACAAAAAATTGTTGTTCTCCGATTAATTCTCCGATTTGGACAAATCCCGACGGTTACCTACCGCCGAGCGCTTAACCGGCGCTTAGGCGGCCGCGGAGGCCGCGTTTTCGAACAGGGATAGTAGATAATGATTTATAGGCTCATACACCAAAATACCATAGAAGAAAGAATGGTGGAAATGACTAAAAAGAAGATGCTTCTACAGTCCCATCGTGGAAAATATGAAAATACAAATGTCTAGAACAAAGATGTTTCTATAACATCTAGATGTGACAAATGTAAACCTTATTATCCTTTGAGAGATATCTTACCATGCATCTCTTTTCTTTTGGATAACATCTAATCCAAAACTAGGCAAATCACTTGACACCAAATTTTAGTTTGCTTAAGAGGCGTAATATGATGAAAAGATATCCACCGAAAGATAACAAGATTGATATTTTTTTATTTTTATTTTTTTTTCTGCAAAGAACACTTATATTGATTGTATACGATCAAAATACATGAGTTCAGTCAACCAAATTGGTGGATTTACACAATCAGAATAAAATGTTCTATTTAAACAGCCTTTTTTTGCTAGAGAATGAGCTACTTTATTACATAACCGGTTTGTATGAACAAAGGAAACATCCCTAAACTTTGCTTTCCAAAAGAGAATATCTCGGTGCAGTCCATCAATTGCTATATCATTGGAGACACCATTGATGATGTTAATTAAAACCTCGCAGTCTCCTTCAAACATAACTGCCGTAAATCCCCTTAACCATGTTTGTTGTAATGCAAAAAGTAGAGCGTGCCCCTCAGCTTCAAGCGGTGATCGTGCTTGGTGTAATGTTGCTGCTCCCCAACATTTAGAGAAACCATTGCTGTCCCGAATGATCCATCCTCCCGTCACGTGACCCGAAACAGAATTAAACCCGGCATCATAATTGCATTTAATAACGTGAGTAGGAGGACGGGTCCAATTGGTATCAATGATCGTATCCCGACCATGCAAAGGAGTAGCGTTCAAGCCAGTTGTTTCGATCCACTCCCTGATGTCTGTTTTGGCTTGTAAAGCACTCTTAGAAGGGTTTTCTCTTATCTGATTAAAGATGAAATTATTACGTGATTTCCAGATATGCCAAAGTGACCACCAGGGTAGTAGTTTTTGATGTCTTGAGCTGCCTTGAGAATCATAAAAATCTAATAAAGAATTCAAATTTTCCTCACAGTCATTGGAGAAAGAGTTTATAGTTATAGAAGGGATATTGACAAGTCGCCAAACCATCAATGAAAAAGAGCACTGGAACAGAGTATGACTTATGTTCTCTTCTGAGATTTTGCATCTTTGACAGATTCTATTTATTTGTAAACCTCGAGAAATTAGTCGATCTGCTGTCGCCAAAGAACGAGTAACTGCTCGCCATAGGAAATGTTTGATTTTGGGTAGGATAGGTAATTTCCAAATCCTGTTCTTCAATACAACAGAGCCAGCCGGGGCATCAATGGGAGGCTCGTCGTCAAAAGGATCGTGTGTTGCCAACCAATAGCCCGTTCTCACCGTGTACTCACCTGATTTGTGATAGTGCCAAACCAATTGATCATGTGTCTCCAACCGAGGCAGATAAATATTTTGAACAGCCTCTCATATAACAAGATTGATATATGTCACTAATATATGCAAGAGAGGGTTCCCAAGTTCCTAAGTTCTAGGCGGTCACCAAACTACCGAACATGAGGATTACAATTGGTAAGGGTAGAATTATTATTCGGAATCTGAGATTCGATCCGAGATCTACTCTGATCTACTCCAAAAAATCGGATATCCCGGATGGTGGATCCGGATAAAAAATTCTCGGCTTTGGAAAAAAAAAAATCAGATATCTAAAGCCGGATCCTTCAGTTTTATTTTATTATATTATTCATATTTAAAACATATTAAGATTTATATTAAAATTTGATTAAAATAAATTTTAAATATTTTAACAATATTAGATTTTATATTTTCTAAAAAGATATCATATAATTTTTATCATTATTTTTAATATTTTGATTTTTGGATGAATCCGAATCCAGATCCGAATATCCG